CAAGAAATCAAATGACATATTTCTTTAGACAAATCTGTTGCACAGCACCTCTTTTAACTATTTAAGAGTAAAGATTTTAGTTTGAGAATTAAGATATACCTTACCAAAGCCAGGATATTTCTAATAGCCTCATATGCATTTAAAGTTGGACAGTGAATAAGGAAAACCATAGAAGAATGGATGTATTTCAGTTATGGTGTTGGAGAAGAATGTTAAAGGTACCACTACCCGAACAGCAAACAAATCGGGTGTTAGAAGACGTACAATCAGAATGTTCCTTAGAAGCCAGGATGGCAAGACTTTGTCTCTTATACTTGGTATATAATATCAAGAGGGACCATCCCTGGAGAAGGACATCATTCATTCTTGGTAAAGTGGAGGGTCAGAGAAAAAGAGGAAGAGCCCTTATGAGATGGATTGGCACAGTGGCAGCAGCAATGGGCTCAAGTCTAACTGTGATTGTGAGGATAATGCAGGACAAGGCAGTGTTTCATTTCATTGTGCATAGAGTCTCTATGAGTCAGAACTGACTAGATGGCGCCTAACAACATCAACAATATACATGACTGAATAAATAAAGTGTTATGGGACTATTTCTCTTCCTGAAATAAAAAGGATCTGATTAAATATAGATGGAGTCTTAATTACTGGTTACTAGGGCTCCTTGTGATGGTGAGAAGGGGTATGTGTGTAACTCTGTAGGGCAATCTAACAATTGTTCTACTTTGATTGTGCTCATTGTACAGATCAGTCACTTTGCTGCTGTTAATTGCCTCTGAGTTGGCTCTAACTCGTGGCATCTTTCTATATAACAAAGCAAAATGTTATCCCTCCGGTACCATTTTCATGAGTTATATGATGAAGTCCATTGTTTCGACTGTTGTGCCAATCCATCTCATTGAGGGTCACCTTCATTCTTGTTGATCCTCTGCCAACCATGATGACTTTTTCTAGTGATTGGTCTTTTCTCAATTAAAGGAAGCCAGAGTCTCCCCATCCTGGCTTCTAAGGAGCATTCTCATTGTATTTTTCCTAAGACTCATTTGTTTTTCCAGCAGAAATGATATATTCCACATTCTTCACCAACACTACATTTTAAATGCATCAGTTATTTTTCAATGGCCAGCTTTTTCATGCACATGAAGTGATTGAAAGGAACAGTATATGGGTCAAGATGGCCTTAGTCATCCAAGTTACCTCATTGTGCCTAGGTCACTTTCATGGTTTTGATATTGTATTACAGATAACTAAACTATAACCATTGAAAATGACCCAATGACCCCTTTGTTCTGTTTTTGCTACTTTCTGTCCATCTATAATTTCTTCAAAATAAGTTTTCAATAAAAAATATCTCTCTAGAATACCCTCCAGTTACCATGATGCATAGTATGCAGAACTCATGTGCTGTACCTCTGGTAATCCAATTTGAGTTCTAGCATAAGTTTTCGTTTTTAACTTCTACTTGATGCATTATCCCACCCTGGGCCTCACAAACACGAGTCCAATGATTACATGGTAGTTAAATGGCCCACTGACAGGATTCCTAAAAAATGGAAAAATTGGTCTTCTTTGATTCTAAAATACTCTCATTTGATTAACACTGAACAGTAACATTAAGTATGTGACTAGATATTCAGGAAGTATCCTGACAGCAGCAATATGTGATCCACTGAGGACTGAGAGGTAGGGCAAATTAGTGTCAGCTCAAGGCTTGGAAGTTTTGACCTAACGCCACAAATAAGCCTTCAAGTGATTTACTGATTGTACTCTGCTTTTTTATGTGAACTTTTAAAATAGTCATCAAACTCACCTCTATATTAAAATATATTCCAAAGCTGACCTTCACTCCTCAGCACCAATACACCCCTATAGCCCACAGCACCATTATGTCTCATCTGAACTGCCTTCTTGTAGGCCTTCACCCACCACACTTTCCCCTACACTCTGTTTTCCACATGGTGGACATACAAATTAGGTCACATCACAGCCCAAGCCCTCTGTTTACCACAATAAAATCCAAACCCTGGGGAGATAGGGCTTGATGGTGACTAAGGTGGAGGTGCAGTGAAGTTCGCCATCAGTAATAACATAGAATACCAGGCAAAGCAGAGCCAGGGCAGAACTCCAAAACTCGGAACCACAGAGATAGGAATATTTTAAAAGTTTGAAGGCTTATAGCTTGTGGGACTTGGAGTTGAAGTAAAAAATCGTGTACTTTTGAATCTGCCCAGCCGGGCTCGGAGGCCCGGAGCTGACATCTTGGGCAAGACCAAATGGCAAGACCAAGCTGGGGGAGCAGAAACACCACGGAAAAACATCACAGGATCCTTGGGGCAAAGACACTGGAGAGAAAGGATTAGCCAGAAACATCACCATAGAAAGCTTATAAGTCCGTCTTCTGTCTATAATTGTTTGGAATACCCAAAATGGGGCTACAATGTGCCCAGTGAAGGAGGCTTCCTGCAGAGCCTCTGCATTACATAAGACTATAGGAGGAAGCCTGAACCACATCCAGATCTTCAGAGATGGGAAATTTCCACTTGAAAGGATGAGCAGACCAGCCTGGAGCA